GAACAGCTGGTAGTTGCAAACTGCTGACCTTGAGGCTCACTGCCTGATTCGTAACCACTACACTACCAGAGCTCCTTCTGTAAATAGTAGAAGATCCAAGTAAACCTGGTTTAAACAACAAATTGAGTCCAGCCATAGGGTGAGGTGTTAGTGTTGGTTTGATGCAGAGATTCATGAGGTTGTCAAGACCCTGGTTCCTATGGTGTCAGCTTTACTTTAAGGTTGGATTTCCTCCTGGTGGCACAATTGCTGCAACAGTTGCTGCAGCAGTTCCAGACGTCACATCCACATAGCAGACTGTTAAGAAGCAGACCAAGTTGATATCTCTCCCAGAGATCTCCAGGAAGTCTTCCTCTTATTTTACTGGCTCTGAGGCATACGCCTATTCCTGAGCCAATCCCTGTGTTCAGGGAAATGAGTGACTACAGTAGGCCTTGAACTACAGGGCTAAGTGGTGGCCAGAGAAATGGAATTACTCATAGAAAAATCAGAGTTAACCAGGAGCTTTGCTTAGTATTAGCTTCCCATGAAGCACTTCAGGTAAAAGGTGAATGTATGCTGGGTAGGTAACTAACACAGTAACTCTTTTTTTTTTTTTTTTTTCATTTTTTTAAAGGTATATGCAGAGTTTTCTTGAACTTTTAGAATATGAAAATAAGAGCCCTGAGGATCCACAGGTATTGGATAAGTAAGTATAGTGCCGAACTGAAGGTAAAAACATATAATCAAAGTTTTGATAAATGGAATTCATGCCATTAAGAACCAAGAAGTGTAATTTGGATAAAAGTTTTAGGTTTCTTTATGGATAATGACTTAAATAATGTATTTTTTTAAAAAGGAGTTTAAGATTTTAACATCGTACAAAAGGAATAATGATAGTTCAAATTATGCTACATAATCTAATGCTTATTACGCTGAACTCTGGGTGAACTGGGCACCCGCTCTAAATATTGCAGGAACTGTTCCACCTAGTGGTAGTTTTAAGAATGCAGTGTCCTCATCATGTACGTGAATTTATCCACTCATTCCTTTACAATTTTAAAAAAATTCAATGGGATATTATATTCGAACTCAGAAATCTTGTAATTGTTTCATTTGGGAGCTTGTGCTCTTTATGTAGCAACCCAGAGTCTGTTAACTGTTTTTATGCACAAATACTACTAAGTTCGCATGCTGATAGGAGATCTATGTTCTTCATTGTCACTAATGAGTCTTGGGAGATATTTTTGGAATGTCCTTATGTTAGAAGTATTATTATATTCTGCAACTATTTATTCAATAAACTATATAGAGTCTGTATTACATTTATATAAAAAGTCATTGGAAGAACAAGCAAGTTGTTCGCTGGGGAGCCATCAAGGCAAGCAGTCAAGCCTCTTCAGGACAGATCCTCCTCTAGGACTGAGACTCAGGCGGTATCACGAGCAGGCATGTAAACTTGCTGGCGACCACGTTGGTCTCCTGATGAGTGGAAGAGGGAAAGACAGCAATGAAAATATGGGCCAAGTTTGACCATGTTCCATAGACTCCTGTTGACCTGGAGATGAGAGAGAGAAGAGGAAGGGCTGGTTGGTCTGAGGTGTAGTGAGACCTGGGGACACCTGAGCCCATGGACAAG